GGGAGGGGGGAGGAGATGCGGGAGGGGGGGAAAGAGAACAATGGTTTTCTAAATCACTTCAATTGATAATTTGTAAATGATTCCCTGAAGCTTTGTAACTATTTCAGCTATATTGCCTTTTAAACTCTGCAACTCATTGTAAGTTTTGTAAAACCTTGCAACTTTGTAGCTTTTTGTAACTTTCATCCACTTTGAGTATAGCTTGCTCTAAACTGCATTCTCCCCTGAGATTTGAGAGAGTGAGAGTGTGGTGGGTGAGAGTGAGAGAGGGGACGCTATTGTGTGTCTGGGATTAGAAACTGCAAGGCTGAGCACATGGAGCCTGATGATGAGTCATTAGACCTGCTGGATCAAGGAAAGTCTGAGCATACTCCCTGGTGAGGAATGTGGCTGAGTCACAGGAGTTGTACAGAAGCAATAAAAGGAGAGAGCATGTGGGCAGAAGCCCTCTTTCTGAGAAGCTCCTCTTTCTGCAGCCAGAAGCTCTCTTTCTTTCCTGACCAGCTCCCCAGCCATGATCAGCAAACAGACCCTCCAGGTGCAACATGCCTTGGCTCCTTCTGCAACCCATATGCCTGTGTAAGTGTGTGAGTGCTTGAGGACAGGAATGAATGAAGGAAAGAAGGAAAGTGTATGTGCAGGGCCGGCTTTAGCATGCGCGGGGCCCGATTCTGGGAGCAGCCCCGCACATGTGCCGCGCACCCAGGGTGGCCCCGCGCATGCGTCGTGCGTCCCAGACGGCACTGCGTATGTGTCGCATGCCGGGGGGGGGTCACGTACCTGGGAGTGGGGCCCCCTTAGGTGTGGGGCCCCATTCCGGAGAATTGGCCTACAGCCAGCCCTGTGTATGTGTGTGTGTTAGTGTGTGAGAGAGATAGCTGGTTCCCCTTTTAGTGGCAGCTCTATCCTCTTTAGTTTAACCATATAGTGGAGTGTTAATTCTTCAATCAATAAATCCAAAGTAGTGTAACCCTGTGTGGTCACCAGTGGAAATTTTTGGGTAACAATGGGGTCAAGTAATTTCACCGTATTCATGAGATTTAGCTGTCAATACAACATAGTTACCTCTTTGTCAGCTCTTTTTAAGTGGTTACACCTATCTAGAAACTGATATCCTGCCATGACCCACTCCTTCTGTATTAGGCTCTGAAATCCAACAATTGTCCGAAAATAGGGATCCAGCATTACTTGAATGAGGGAGGCTACAAAACAGCTCAGGTCCCGTCCTTCGTCCTCTATGGAAGACATGAAGAGCATTTGAATATATAGATGCATATGCAATTAAAGAGGTCAGAAGAAAAAAATTGGCAATTTCAAAATACAACTATCTTGAAACTATTGTGTTTCAATAAAGTCACACTATAGTTAAGATTCTCAAGTATATACAGCACTGATCTGTGAATAACCCTTAGTCAAGAATAACCTGTTAAGTGTTTGTCCAAAAAACTGGACGCCTACCATTTGAGATAGGCTGAACTGGAGGGAGCTCAAATTAGTGAAATGCTCCAAGTGCTCTTTCCAACTTAGAGGTAGTCTGAATTGGTACCATTGCTACCTCCAGAAGGAATTTCAGAGTCAACTAATCAGCATTGCCGAACACAAGTAATTTTTAGAAATGGTCATTCTCCAGATAATGAGCTGAGGCAAAAATCACAGTTGAATAGATAATATAGCTAGAGTTGACAGTCATTCTGCTCTACAAAGTCATTGGTCTACGTTCTTAATTTGATCACATCAAATGTGCGTTATCAGAAAAAAGGGGGGATAGTACCATGTGCTACTATTACAGTCCAGGTACATAATCAATTATAGGGAGGAAATTGTATTAAATGAAAATACTTTAATTCACTGCCTTTCGACACATCAGTAAAGTATACAAAGGACAAATATAGTTTACCAAATCACGCTTCCAAGCGAACAATCACAACAATTATACATGTTACGCAATTATATTACCTTGCAGAACTACGGATACATGCTTACTGTCCAGCATATACACAAGTTCAGCTGAATGCTTAAGGAATGACCTAGACAAAAGAAAAAGTGATTTAATCTAACAAAACTACAGAAACGGCACATTCTAAAAAATGAGGATGGGATTTTCAAAAAAATGTTCTTTAGGTGCACAAGTGTCACGGACTTTCATAGGAATTCATGCTTCTAAGTTAAAATCTAATACATACTCAAGAAATAGGAAAACTTCAACTGTTCCCAATAGGGCACTAGTACCACAGAAATGCCTCTTTAGTGCCCATTACTGTACTGATCCTATACATATTTAGCACACAAGTCCCACTGAAATTGTTAACATTCACTGACGTCTCTGCAGAAGTAAGCCTATATCACACAGTGTGTGTGAGACTCTTTTGAATCCCTATATATTTCTCTCTCACTTTACAATTTACAAAGACCATCTGTATTTGTTTTACTGCATATTTACATTAATTTTTCATCAAGCACACACTATAAATGATTACTTTCTGGTCATAATAATACTTTCGAATGCCATGGGCAGTCTTGACATGCCCTTAAAGACTAACAGATTTATTTGGGCATGAGCTGCTGTGGGTCAAAATCACTTCATCAGACACACTGGAATGGAAATTACAGATGTGGGGACATCTATATGTACTAGTATAATCAAAAGAAGAAAAGTTTTGCCCGAAATGGCCTCTGCAAGGATTGTACTCACAACCCTGGGTTTAGCAGGCCAATGCTCAAACCACTGAGCTATCCCTCCCCCCCAATATTGGTACGTACCTGACATACTCTAGCCAATGAGTATTTTCTAGTAAAGATAACCATTTCTCTTCCATTTCTTCAAAAGGTTCTGCAGCGAGAAGAGTGAGAATGTCTGGATGCATTTTTAAATAACTAGCTAAAGTAAATGGCTTTGTTAGCAAGTTAAACCAATAGCTATGCAGCCCATCATTTTCCACAAGATTAAGTCTGTAGTTGAAGGCATGTGGTACCATCACTCCTCAGAAAAGCACAGACTATTTTATGCGTGTACTTCATGCATGTGTATACCCCAGGTCTCAAACTGAATGTAGAGAATGTAAGAGAATTTAGATTTACACACGCTATATAATAATATACACACAGGAATGCACTTTATATAGAATTTCAATTCCAGGCAAGTTAGTAGCTTCCTTCTGACACACTGCTTTCTTGAAACCATATCCCCCAATGTCATAATAAATAAATAAATAAAGGCAGCGCACTCGAAGGATTTTGATATGACCACCTACCATTAACACATAATTGTTTAAGTTTGATAAATGCAGCCTGGATTTCCTGGATATTGGGCAGGCACTTGTCCAAATCTGACTTGTAAACATCACTTCTTTGTGGATGACTTCGAGTTATTGCATTACAAATCCTAAAAAAAACAAACCAAAAAACCCACCCAAAACTGTATTATTGGACACGGAGGAATACTTTTCAAATTAAATTCCTTAGGGAAGTGAAAGCAACTAAAAGCATTTAAAAATAGATGTCCTGTTTCCTACTTTTAAAGATTTCCTTGTATTTAACAGGCAATTAGCTTACATAGCAAAACTATGTGCTCAAGCGGCTAAATGGAAGAGCATAGGCATCTGATTAGCATTCATGCATTTTTAGTCATATGGAGTGCTATGTGAAGGCAGAATTGTTAACATACATTTCAGAAACATTCAGTTCCCATTATTGTTGAGACATGAGCAAAATTAATTTGAAAAACTGAAAACAGTATATTGTTTAAAGATCTACAGGAAACCCTATTATACCAAGCAGTGCACAAGTAGTAAGCAACAAAGCCTTCAGGTGGTATGGAACTAGGTAGTATTTCTTGCAACATATTAATCTAGCATATATGAGGAGACCTTGCCTAGTGGTCTGTGAACACATCTGGAAGCCTAAATGTCTCAGCTGAATCCCTATTCTGACACCAACTTTTCTATAGTCTTGAGAAAGCTACATAACCTATAATCTTTTACAGACAGGGAAACTGAAGCAAATAACGTAAGTGTTAGGTAATGTTGAAGATGAAAATCAATTATTCAAGTATTATGACTATCACTAGATAACCGAATCCTGACATAGGAAGTAAAAGTTTGAGGGACATTATATCTCAACTAGCCATAAGACGGGATTTTCGGGTCTCTCCTCCACGTCTCTCTCTCTCCTCCTACTACTGCCTCCCCCTCTCTTCCTCTCAGCTCTCCGTGTCTCTCTCTTTCTCTTCTCCTCCCCCTCCTCCCTCTCACTCGGGGAACCGTGGAGCCCAAACGGTAGCTTGTGCCACTTGCTGCCGCACAGCGGACCGGCTGAGTGGTGCAGAAGTTAGCCGAGCGCCCCAGCAGGAGGCAAAGGGGGGCAGGGCGGTGACATTCATGGCCAGGGTGCGGGGCCTGGAGCAGTCATGCCGCACATCACCGCCCTGCCCCCCTTCGCCTGCCGGTGTGGCGCTCTGCTGACTTCTGCACCACTCAGCCGGGCTGCCGCGGGAGAGCACGCGGCCATTTGGGC